ATCAGCTGTCATTATGGGATATTTGATGTTAGGCACGGCTATACATACACTTTCCACACAAAGGACTTGAGTCAATCTTCACAACCTGTGAACTCACAACTAATGCAACAAGGCTCAGAAAAGAAAAGCAACTCTTCATTCACAAGGGGGCACCCGAGCCAAAGTCTCTGAACTTTCCTCTTCATAAAACTTTGCAGTCACACAGTATCTTCCAAGGCTACCAAATTTGTGCGTGCGTGTGTGTGTGTGTGTGTGTGTGTGTGTGTGTGTGTGTGTGTGTGTATGTGTGTGTGTGTGTGTGTTTATTGAAGACTGAAGGATGTATCTTGGCGACACAGCACTTGTCTAGCATGTAGAAGGCTCAGGGCCCAATCTCCAGCAACACCACCAAATAAATAGGTGAGCAGAACAATAGTGCTACGATTTGGGGGAACAAGAGGTAAAAAATTTTCATAAGATGTTTTCTAAATGAAAATATCTATACAAAGAACCTCAAAATATTCTCCCTACACTTAGGATATATGCTGTTGCCCTTTTATATGTTAACTAACATTTATTTCCACCTGACTTTATTTGTACAACTGTAAAGAGAAGTGATTAAAACACAGTACTAAAGGACTAAAAAAGCACAGAAAATAAAACAAATTGGACTATATGAAATTAATTAATTAAAAGGCTTCTTTGCATAAAGAAAACAACCAAAGTGAACAGAGTCTACAAAATCAGAGGGAAAAAAATCTTTGCCAGCTACATGAGACAAAGGATTAATATTCCAAATGCATAAGGAACAGTAAAAATTAAATACCAAATCCAATCAATAAATAGCTACTAAACTGGATATATGGTTCAAAGAAATGCAAAAGGCCAAGAAACACTTGAACAAGCAATCCACATCCTTAATCATCATGTAAATACAAATCAAAACTGCTTTGAGCTGGGTCCCTTTAGTCCCAGCACTCAGGAGGCAGAGGCAGGTGGATCTCTCTGTGAGTTCCTGGCCGGCCTGGTCTACAGAGCAAGTTCCAGGACAGCACTTGACACCAAGCAGCCTGACGACCTGAGTTCAATCCTGGAGATCCACAGAAGACATGAATTCTGAAAGTTGTTCTCTGACTCTGTACCTTTACTGTAGGTTCCCTCCTGCATGTGAAGCCACACACACACATTAATTCTAAAAAGACAGCAAATGCTGGTGAGTATGTGGCTAAACAGTAAATCTTACTCCCTGCTGGTAGAAATGAAAATCTGTGTAGCCACTATGGAATTCAGTATGGAAGGAAGTCTTTAACATAATAATAATAATAATAATAATAATAATAATAATAGGATTATTATTGGAATGGATGGTTGAGTGGTTAAGAGCACTGGCTGCTCTTCCAAAGGTCCTGAGTTCAATTCCAAGCAACCACGTGGTGGCTCACAACTACCTGTGATGAGATCTGATGCCCTCTTCTGGCCTGCAGGCACACATGCAGGCAGAACTTTATACATAATAAATAAATCTTTAAAAAAAAAAGTGCTCAGCATCCTTAGCCGTCAGGGAAATGCAAATCAAAACACCTCTGAGATACCATCTCACTCCCATCAGAATGGCTAAAATCAAAAACACTAATGACAGTTTATGCTGGAGAGGATGTGGAGAAAGGGGAACACTCCTCCACTGCTGGTGGGAGTGCCAACTCTTACAGCCACTTTGGAGATCAGTATGGAGATTCCTCAGGAAAACAGAAATCAGTCTACCACAAAATCCAGCAGTACCACTCCTAGGCATATACCCAAAAGATGTACCCTCATACAATAAGGACATCTGCTCAACTATGTTCATAGCATCATTATTTGTAATAGCCAGAACCTGGAAGCAACCTAGATGCCCCTTAACTGAAGAGTGGATAGAGAAAATGTGGTACATTTACACAATGAAGTACTTTTCAGCAGAAAAAAAACAATGGAATCTTGAAATTTGGAGGCAAATGGATGGCACTAGAAGGAACCATCCTGAGTGAGGTAACCCAGTCACAAAAAGACAAAAATGGTATATACTCACTCATATATGTATTTTAGACATGGAACAAAGCATTGCCAGCCTACAGTCCTACCACGAGATTTCCTAATTGGATTGGGAGGGCAGAAGGAGATGGGAGAAAGAGAGGGAGAAAAGAGGAGGGGAGAGGAGGACATAGGAGAGCAGGAAGGTTGAGCCAGGGTAAGAATAGAGGAGAGAATGATGGGAGATACCATGAAAGAGGGAGCCAGTATAAGTTGGAGGAGATCTGACACTAGTGAGATCTTCACAGATCTACAAGAATGATATCAACTGGCATTAAGGCTACCTTAAATGCCCTCCCATGATAATGAGAATGATGACTACCTTATATGCCATCCTAGAACTTTCACCCAGTGGCTGATGGAGGCAGAGGCAGATACCCACAGCTGGGAACCGAATTGAACTCCCTGGAACCCAGTTGCAAAGAGGAGTGATGATCAAAGGAATCAAGATCAGGCTGGCGAAACCCACAGAGGCAGCTGACCTAAACAAGGAAGAACACATGGACCCCAGACTGATGACTGAGAGGCCAGCATGGGACTGATCCAGACACCGCCCCCCACCGAACCTGGGTGTCAGAGAGGAGGCCTTGGCAATCTGTGGGACCTTGGAGAGTAGAGCAGTATTTATTCCCGGCATACAGATGGACTCTGGAAACCCATTCCATGTGGATACATGAGGAAGGACCTAAGCCCTGCCCAGGATGATGTGACAGACTCTGAAAATCCCTCATGGAAGTCCTTGCCCTCCCTGGGGAGCGGAGGGCATATGGAGTGGGGGTGAGGGGTAGAGTGGGGGTAAGGGGTTAGGAGGATTAAGGGGGTGGGGAGAAGGAGAGGGAGAGGGAACTGAGAGTGACATGTAAAAAGTTAAATAAAAAAAATATGAAAAAAAAGGAAAGTACCCAGAAAAAAATAGAACTACCATTTGATCCAGTGTAGATACATACACAAATGACTCCAAATTAACATAACACAGAGATTCATGGTCATTGCTACCCTAATCATTCACAGCCAGGAAACAGAACCAACCTAGAAGTCCATGAGAGAAATGAATACAGCAAATGTGGTCCATGCCTGACATGGTGGTGCACAACTTTAGTTCCCCAGCCTTTAGGAGGCAGAGGTAGGTGGATCTCTCTGAGTCCAAGGCCAGCCTAGTCTATATCAAGTTCTAAGTCAGCCAAAGATACATAGTGTGACCCTGTCTCAAAAATACCAAAAAGAAAAAAAAAAAAAAGAAAGAGAATGGTTCACATATATGATGGAATTTCATGCGGCCATTAGAAAAAATGAAATCACGGCATTTGCAGGAAATGTATACAACCAGAAATCACTATGTTAAAAAAGACAAATATTGCATATTTTATGGCTGTAAATGCTTTTGTGTATACAGATCATGATACTAGAAAAAATATGGAGAGAGAAGACCTTAAAGGAGCAGGAAACAGGGTGGTGGAGTATGGGAAGTAAAGCAGACGGGCTCTAGCTGGGAAAGAAGGGGAGTGAAATGGAGTGAGGGCAGTTGGGTTCGGTAATGAATGAGAGCAATGAAGTCATGACGTAACTCACTGCTTTATACGCTAACTTTCTAATAATTGGTACTTGCCGCTAGTACTTCTGACAGCTTCCCAAGGTTCCCTTATATAATGAATCGTTTTCATTTTAGTGTGTTCTTTCAGTCTACAGTCTTAAAGTGTAATCACATACTCTACCCTTCCATGTTCTCTTAAATCTCTCCCGGTTACACTGTCTTTTCACAAACCTTCCTACTCCCTATTCCTTTTTAAAAGCACACAGTGAGGGGCTGAGAGGTGGCTGCTCTTCCAAAGGACCAGGAATCCATTCCCAGCAAACACATCAAGCGGCTCACACGTGCTTCTAACTCCGGTTCCAGGGAATCTGATGCTCTCTGGCTTCTTACACACGTGTGACACACACACACATATGTGATGGACATAAACTCACGCCCAAACACAAATAAAAATGAATAAATCTTTTTAACAAAAAATGCACAGAGAAAAACAAATTCAGCACAGACTTATGAAATATAGGGTTTTAAGAACATTTTAGGCCGGGCGTTGGTGGCACAAGCCTTTAATCCCAGCACTGGGGAAGCAGAGGCAGGTGGATCTCTGTGAGTTCAAGACCAGTCTGGTCTACAAGAGCTAGTTCCAGGACAGCCTCCAAAGTCACAGAGAAACCGTCTCGAAAAACAAACAAACAAAAAGAACATTTTAGAAATCGGTACCATTTCTCATGAGTTAACTGAGTCCATGTTACAAAAGTTGGCAGCGCCAACGCCAAGATCAAAATTCGTGCCTTTTAACTTTACACTTCGCATCTCCGAATGTAGAATCTGCAAGGACGTTCCAGCATTGTTTTGCTATTCTTAGACAAGAACAATCCTGACTATTGCGAGCGTTTTGCCTGAAATTGCACCCAAATAGACTTTAAAACGCATTAACACGTGGACTTCCTAAGCAATTCGTTTGACAGGTTCTTCGGACGCGAGAAGCAACCCTGGCTTGTTCCACGAGCCACTGTGTGTGTATGTACCTTAAAGGAGATGGAATTGTTTATTATTCGTCTATTTAGCAACACTGAAGATTGAACCCGGGACCCTGTATATGCTAAAGAGCTCAGCCACTGGGTTACATCCCCAGCCCTCCAGCAGCATTCAATGGGTACTGAGCCCTTTCCCGGTGCTGAACTCGCGGGTGCTGAGGCTACACACCGGTGGGAAGAAGTGTCGCAGCAAAGGGTGCAACCGCTGAGCCTCCGGGACGCCCCCCTCGGCCATCCCATGCGTCTCCCGCAGAACCACCCGAACCCCGGGGCGAGCCCGGGCCCGGGAGCCTCGTGCCGGCGAACGCCAAAGCACTTCAGCCCCGAACAAACCCGCCGCAGCGGTTCTCAGGCCGGGTCCTCCAGGCAGAGCGCGGCGGAGAACTCACCCAGCGGCGGAGCTCCACCTCCTACCCCTCCGAGCCGGTGCAGCCGCCTGGGAGCACCGCAGGGCGGGAGCGGAAGAAAAGGCCGCGGAGCGGCAGGCGCGGTCCAAGCCCTGACGCGGCCCCGCCCACATCTCACCAGGACACGCCCATACACGTACTCATTGGTCACTGCCGACACCTCTCCAGGCCACGCCCCGTTCGCAGCCGACCTTGCCCGGGAAGAGCCGGTCTCAGTAGCAGCCAGACTTGATCGCAGGCTCTTCCTTGTGGGGACCGCCCGCTGCTACTTCACAGCCTCACAGCCTTCGGTCTGTGAAGGAGAAATCGGGAAGCCACTAGCCAAAGGACTCTTCTCCAGAGAGGCTTCTCTGTGTCTCCCGGACCCTCCGCCGTCGCAAAGAGATCATCTTGCACTTAGTTTTTCTACCCTAGAGCTTTATGAGTTGAGACGTTAACTCAGAAATGAGAACCCTTTACCCAAAGTCACCAAACGAAAGCGTTTCACAATACTTGCATACTTTCTGGCTGGATAGTCCTCCCACACCGAACTCTTGAAAAATTGCCACTTATCACACACAAGAAATTGAGCACATTTTCCATCATATCCCATATGCTACCGTATTTATATTTCCTTTGCTGTCCCAAAAGACCGTAGACACACTCACACATTAATTGCATTCGAATTCACCTCTCATAATCTTAGTGTGGAGCTGTACTCTAGCTTTTCTAAATTCTTGACTTTGGCATATCTGCGGTCTTGTCGTATTCCGGATTCACGGGATTGTTTTCTCGCGATCAGAAACATTTAGAACAATAGCCGGTACTCAGATCACTTCCTTCACGTCCGACAGGCACACTGCCGGTTTGGCATCATCCATCAAACCAAGATGCAAAGAGCCGTCACTTGCACAAGGCTCCTCTCCCCTCAACAAAGCCAGTGGAGATGAGTATCATCTCCCAGGATAAGCTGGGCCCTGGTGAATATTTTGTCCCCAACAATACCCTTTCCCAATGGATGCAGCACACATGGATGAACACTAACTACAATAGTGATAATTATATTACATGCAATTCTGTCTCCCTTTTCTGCGTTTTCCGGATGGTATCTGCGCGGAGAAAGCCAGTATCTACTCATGTTCTTCCTTTCTGAGTCGCCTTCCGCTTTGCCTTTAGTAATCCTGTGTGTGGACTGGGTTTGTTCTGAATTCAACTGCTAAAACCAGAGGCCAGTACGATTCTGGCACTCGGGTTGCCCACCTCCGGCCATTAGGAGCCCCTCCCATTACTATGGTGTCCTGGGGATGTTTTATCTTCCAGCACTTCCCACGCTCTCTAGTACAATGCCTTCCTCATAACATCTTCCTTCCTATTGCACTCAGAGAGGGGAATGTTATAAAGTCCTTTTACACTGAACCTCTCCCTTTTATATTGTATCGTGTAACATAAAACAGAGTGTAGCTGGGTTCTCTTTAGGAATAGAACCAACATAATGAATATATATTAAAGGGGGGAATCTATTCGACCACCTTACATGATATGGTCTGGGTAGTCCAAAGATGGTTGTCTATGGAAAGCCCACCAGCCTGGATGCCACAGCAGTCCCAATCCAACACCAAAGGTCTGGAAGATTACTATGGAGTCACTGGTTCATATTGGAAAGCCAACGAAGCCAGGTTCTGGTACCAGCAAAGGAACTTAGAGGCAGTGGCAGAGGCACTCGCCAGCAAGAGGCTAAGGCAAGCAGGCGAATGCTTTTCCCTTGGGGCTTCTTGTATCCGGCTGCTGCTGAAAGGTGTTGCCCACATTCAGGGTAAGTCTTCCCCCTTCAGTTTCCCTACCCCGAAACATCCTTCCAGGCATGTCTAGAGATCACCCTAACCTAGAGTGACCACCTCACTAAGCACTAACCACCTCGTAGGTGGTGTCCCAGGAGGCTTGATTCCAGATCTGTCAAGTTGGCAATCAGTGTTACCTCACAAACAATATGCCTTCTAACCACAGATACTTTTAAATTTGTTTTTACATTTTTTTCAGTTCATGTGCATGAGTTTTTCATTGCATGTGTGTCTGCGTACCACATGGATGCCTGGTGTCCACGGAGGTCAGAAGAGGACATCAGATCTTCTACAACGGGTGTACAGATGGTTGTGAGATACTATGTGGATGCTGGGAACTGGACCCAGGTCCTCTAGAAGAGCAACAAGTGTTCTTAACCACTGAGCCCACTCTCCCGCCACCCCGATATCCTTAAATCATGAGTGATAGACACCTCTAATCTAGATGCCTGTACCATGGGCTTCATCCTGGGTTCCCCCTTTCTCTGTGGCTTTCATTTAACCATAGTGAATTCTCTCATTCCACCGGCATCAATACAATTGTCTGTTTGTTATATCCTATAATCTACACAAAATAGTTGATCGGCTGGTGACAAGGTGGCTGTGAGTGAATTCACCAAAGACTGAAGGCAGAAAAAGTGTTTATTAAAACATACTTCAGAGAAGTCAGGACAGACGAGACAGTGGAGAGAAGCATCTACACACAGGCTTTCTAAGCAGCTGATCCTACAGAGGGGGAGTTGTATGCAGGCGGTCAGGCACCGATTCAATGTCACAGCCCAGTAGTTGCCATTGAGGCTTATCATGGTTTGCAACAACCTGACCTTGAAGCAGCATTGGTCTTGCCTGAATCTGCCATTCACAATCGCTAGTCCTAGCTGGCATTCATGGTTTGCAACTAAGGCTTGTTATCATTAACTCTTTCTGCCAGAATAACAGTCCTGGAGGTAGCAGTGACCTTGTCCCGAGCTCAGCTTGCTCTGTGGTAAAACAGCCTCATTCTGAGGTTAGAATAGCCTCATCTATCTCAGGATGAACACAGCTGAGACACACGGTTGCACCACCTGCAACACAGTCACTAGATTTGCGACTTCTTATTTTAGTCTTTATAATCTTTTAAATATGATGCAATTAGTGTACAGTGCTCCAAAGTTCTTAAATGAATATACTTTTCTTCCTGAAACTTTTTTGCACTAATTTATGGAGAAAGAGACAGAGTCAGTCACAGGAAAGCTTGAGGAGTCAATTCTCCTCTTCCATCAAGGGTCCTAGGGTTTTAACTTAGATCATCGGACTTGGTGGCAAGTGCCTTTACCTTGTGAATCATATGGCAGGCCCTAATGTGCTTTTCAATGTGGTTATGGTATCAGTTTATTTGTTTTCCAGCTATTTTATATGTACGTGTGTGCAGCACATTTGTGCAGTACCTAAGCAAATCCGAAAGGGGCATCAGATTCCCTGGAATTAGAGTTACACATGGTTGCGAGCTGCCTTAGGGGTTTGGGAATCAAACCCAGATCCTCTGGAAGAACAGCCAGTGCTCTGAATTACTGAGCCACCCTCCAGTCCCTATTAAATTGGTTTTTATACTGTTATTTTTGTCTTTTTTTTCACATCTGCAATCATTTTAGAGTTAATGTATCAGTCCCATTCTTATGCTCTGGACTCAGTTCCCTTGTTCCTATCAGAAAGCACTGGAGTCAGACACAAACCATCATTAACTCCTAGTTACCTTCCTGATGCTGGGGAGGAGGAGAGACAGGAGTACATAGATTGGTACCTCAGCTCCAGATGGACCACACACAAGTCTGTAGTTAGGGATCACTTGGAGACAGGGTCATCTCAAGACCTATCCCCCAGGTGAAGGTAGAATACTCGAAGTTCACACAGCCTGGTTGCTGAGACCCTAGAAAATCCTCTTTCAATTTCACTCTTACCTGTGGGCAGGCTTCAGGTTCAGGATGGCATTCACTGATGGAGTCATTTCCTGGGGCTTCCTAACAAAGTACCATAAAAATGATTTTCTTCTGGTTCAAAACCAAGATAGCAATAGAGTGATAATCTCTACGAAGGCTCTAGGGCACAGCCTGATGATGCTTCTACATTTTGATCTGGGGAGAGGGGGATGCCATGCATTTGGATGGTATTCTGCATTTGTGTCTCTAATCCTAAATTTCTTTCTTAAAAATATAATAGTGACAGGGTTAGGACTCACTGTGCTTTAGAATGTTTAGGATGTCCTCCAAAGTCCCATGTGTTAGAAGCTTAGTCTAAAACTTAGCAGCACTTGGAGGAAGTGAGGCATAGCGGGATGTCTTCTGACCATTAGGAGTGTGCTTTTCAAGTGGCTAGTGGGACTTCATTATCTTCTCCCTTTCACTTCCTGGCTGTAGGTGAGTGGTGGTGGCTTTGCCATGTGCTTCTTGTGAACTTGTCACAGGACAACAGCCCCCAAAACTGCAAATGCAAGTATCGCTTTTCTCTTTGCGAGTGAAATATCCCAAGGGTTTGTTACAGTCACCAAAAGCTGACTAACATTTCCAGGATGACCATACCTAACTTTTTTGTGTCAACAAAACAAAACAGCTTCCAAGTAAGGTCACAAGACTGTGCCTTGGGGGCCGGGGAACACAGTTAAACCGGCAACAGCTGAAGAGGCTAGTTTCTTGCATGACAGACCTCCCCATAAAACTGTTCATGACATTGCACCCTGCTCCAGTTGAGAGGGGAGGGTCCAAGGCAGAGGTCACAGTCTTTTGTGTGCTACTATACCAGCGGCATTCCATTATCTCTGCCGCATTTTTTTTTTTTTTTTTTTTGCAGAAGCCAATGAGTAAATTTGCCACTCGTTCCAGGGGGACGGACTGAAAACAAGTGCAAATACCAGGAGGCAGAGCTCTTGGGGTGCCACCCTCAGGAAGGCATACCACCACATACATGCTCTGTGCCTCCTCTGAGCGCATGAGAGGCAACACGCTTCACTCCACTCTGGTCACAATCTATCACTGAGGGAAATCTGGGCAGGAGCTCATTCAGGAACTAAAGCAGAAACTATGGAGGAGTGTTGCTTCTTGGCTACATCTGTCTTTCCCTCTGACAGCATTGCTATACTACGTAGGGCTACCTTCCTAGGGATAGTGTCACCCACATGGGTTGAGCCCCATGTCAATCATCAATCAAGATAATTCCTCAAAGACACGGTCGAAGTTCAGTCTGATTGAGCTAATCCTTCTCTTGAGGTTCACGCTTGCCAGATGTCTGGATTTTGCCAAGTTGACAATAAA